GAGGGATACAAATATTTCCCATAGTTTCCTCTTCGTCAGGTAACCATTCCACTGATGGACAAAGGATCTAACCTCCTTCCTTTTCTGCAGCAAGAGTTCCAGTCTATCGTTAGCTCGTTTTCCAATGATTTTATTTCGTTCCGTCTCGTACTGTCGTTGTGTATTGTCCATATTAATGCTCAAATTTAATGCCACGTTTACTAACGCAGTCATTAGCTTCATAGCTGTAAAATGCAGAGAAAATGAAAATCAGTCCTAATGTATAGAATAATATAATCAACAAGCCTGAATGATGATATGGATATACAAAAATGCCATACTACACTAAACACAAATGCAGGATTGTTGTTTGGGGGAGGGAATGACAGTAGAGAGGGTTAAATCATGCTGTCTTTAAGTGTCAAAAGGAAAAGTGGCATATAAATAAATTTTAGTAAGATTTCAAATGATTAATTTCAGGATTAGGGGTCCATTTTATGTATGTAAAGGAAATATTTATAACTGAATGATTTCTTTATCAGAAAAGGGACAGAAATAAAATTTTAGTAAGGTTTTGAATGATTAATTTCAGGATTAGGAATCTATTTTATACAAAGGCAATATTCATTAACTGAATGGTTTAGCTACCTACGGAGAAGGGATAGGGTAAGAGATTAATCACACACAAAAAGCTGAGAAGGAATACAAAATTCAGGCAACACTTTTCATATTTTATCACAGGACAAAATATTCACGTCAATTAAAATTCACCCTTTCACATTCGCCCTCTCATTTTATTTATTTGTTTACATTTATCTTATTTATCTATCTACTTATGGACTACTTAGGATCTTTTGAAAAGAAACACGAAAGTGAATTGAATTATGTTGGCTCGGTTACTAAAGGGCTTACGTAACTCTTTTTGTCCAAGAAGGAATGTAACAATTGTTCCAGGGACAGTTATTATGGTATAATGCGCTGAACTTTGAACAAGTGGCTGGAAAGCACCCCAGGAAACCACCTCTCATTCACTTAATGCAGTGTTTCTCAACCTTGGCAACTTGAAGATGTCCGGACTTCAACTCCCAGCATTCGCTGGCTGGGGAATTCTGGGAGTTGAAGTCCAGACATC